AGTTTTCATGGAACACAGCACATGCATTGCCCTGCTCTGCAGCAGGGAGAGATTTTGCAATCTGCTGCCATGACAATATGTTGACGTTACTATTCTTCTTAGGTGCCATTGAGTCAATTACAACTCTTAGCAACTCTGCGAACACTGTTGTTGTTGTTGTTGTTGTTGTTATATGCCATCAAGTTACCCCCAACTCACAGTGGCCATCCACACGATCTCCACTCTGCTCAAACCTATTGTACAGTCAGTGTGTCAATCCGTCTCATTGAGGGTCTTCCTCTCATTCAATGACCCTCTTCTTTCTCAGCATGATTTCTCTTTCCAAGGACTGACCCCATCTGACAACACTCCCAAAGTATTATGAGACTGAGTTTCACCATGTTGTTTTCTAAGGAGTACCTGATTTTGCATTTCATCCAAGACAAATTTGTTTGTTCTTTTTGCCAGTCCCTGGTATATTCAATACTCTTTGTCAATACACTTCACAGGCATTAATTCTTCAATCTTTCTTATTCATCATTCAATCATCATATGTACATAAAGCAAATGAAAAATACATGACTTGGAATCAGGTGCTTGTTAGTCATTAAACCAACATCCTTGTTCTTTAATACCTTAAAGGAAACCCTAACAGAAGATTGAACAAATACAGTGGTGGTGGTGTTGTTAGGTACCATCCAGTTGAATAAGATTCCTAGCAACCCCATGAACAAAAGATCTGAAAACCAGTTCTGTTCTGCGCCATCCTAACACTTCTGACACACAAGAGCCCATTGCAGCAGTCACCTTGTCAATCCACCTGGTTGAAGGTCTTCCTCTCCTTCACCAACCTCCACCCTTCTCAACATCATGTCCCTTTCCAAGGAATAGCACCTCCTAGCAATATGTCCAAAGCATGTTAAGCGAAGCCTCATCATTCTTGCCTTCAAAGAACACTCTGGCTGCATCCTCTCTAAGACATATCTATTCATTTTCTTGGCTGTCCATGGGATGTTCAGTGATCACAGCTCAAAGGCATCAATTCTTTTTCTGTCATCCTTATTCATTGCCCGGGTCTCAGATGCATAGCTAGTAATCAGAAAGACAATGGCCTGAATGAGATGCACCTTAGTCCTCAAGCTGACATCACTACTCCTCAATAATTTGGAAAGGTCCCTAAATGCAGACTTTCCCATTGCAATGCATCTCCTTATTTCCTGAATGCTTGTACAAAGGGTGTAAATTGTGGATCCAAGCAAGATGAAGCTGTTGACGGTTTCAATCTCCTCTCTATCCATTATGACACTGCCTATTGATCCAGTGGTAAGA